GGAAGCAAGGATGATCGGGAGCCATCTTAGAGACCGGGTACCACATATCCCTACTACTTAAAACAATGAAGAAGGGCCTGGGATTTAGTTCAGTGGTTTCGCTGCCTGCTGCACAAGCTCAAGGACCAGAGTTCGATCCCCAGTACCAAAAAAAAAAAACAACAAAAAAAAACAATGAAGAAGTCCAAGAAACACTTGCTATATTGGACTAATCAACGGGTGGCTGGCAATTCAACCTGGGTGCTGTGGCCTAAGATTTTGATGGATGATTGGTTAGGTTTCCAAGTTTAATTGTTTCAAGTTGCCCAATACCTGGTTAGAGTTTCGTAACTGTACTATAGTAACCAACAAACAGAATAAAAATATGAATGTTTGAACTAGCCATCAGGTAACTGAAATGTGACTATAGGCATATGACTAATTGTAATACGTAAATGACATAGATATTATGTTGTTTAGCCACCATTCTTTCATTTAGGATTAGTCTAGTGACCTATCCATGAGTGCCGAGAAGCCAGATCTCAGCCTGGCACAGATCTGGCTGACCTTGTTTCACACTTCTCCCACACCTGTGTAACAGCTTTTGCTTGGCCATCTTTGCTTTCTTATGCAGTGCTGGCTCCATGAGTGCTACCCGTCACTATGTATTTATTCAAAGTTCTTTTCTACTCTCTCCCCCCATGACATGTTCTAGTCACACGAGATCTTCAAACACATGGTATGGTTTCATGTTTCTGTGCCTTGACATATGCTTTGTTTTCTTTCAGGAATGTCATTCCTGGTTTTTTTCTGCCTGGCAAACCCCTTTTCGGCTTTTGAATCTCTGCACAAGCATCATCCCTTCTAAGGAAACTGTCCTAACTCTCCTGGATTTGTCTGACCCTATGGCACACTAGGAGAGAGTCATTATTCTCCTACCTGGGATTATTGTTGGAATTTCTACTTGTTTCAACTACTAAATCATTCTTAATCACTGAGGGTTTTTTTTAATACATGGGTAGTTTTTTCCCCTAAACTGTGATCTTCTTGAAGGCAGATCTTAGCTCTTAGTTACCTATACATCTAACACCTGTCCTCAATGCCTACACACTACCAAGTGAGAGACACTAGGATCCGAACCTGTAAAACATTTGTTTATATCCTACATTTGGTACACTCCATCCATCCATGGGTGGTTCCATTCCCTATATGCCATACTGCTGGGCTACCTTACTCTTTGATACTTCTGAGGATATTTGCATCTGCTTCTCAAGGGGTTGCCCATTTAATGACCACTTCTCAGGTCTTTTGGATTCTAGAGGGATCATTCTGGTTATATAAAGAGGTCTAGCAGCAGGATATGCTGATGAAACATGCAGGTTTTGAAACACAGAGATATGGGTTTGTTTGATGTATGATGATAAGTTACTTAGCTTTTTGTGCTAAGTAAACGAGGTATATAGTTCTTCAGCTTGCTTTAGGGATCATATTTGTCAGGTCTTAACTTCTCCTTAGATGGCTTAGATTATAGAGGTTTAGGCAAGGGTGAGGGAGCAATGGTTTGTGCAGCACCCAGAGACTAGCAGGAGTAGGAAGGCATTACCATCCCTAAGGTGAAAGGACAAAGGGAGGAAATAGTGTTATTTGAACCCAGTGAGACAGGAATCCTAGAAGAGGGGTGGCTTTCAGGGCACTATGGTGTGACTGATACAGCTAAGGGTTGGAATGTAGCCCAAGCTTGAAAGGAACGAGGAAGAAATATCCCAGCCTCTTCCCTATCTGATGCTCCAATCTGCTGCTGGTGTTAGCTATTGGTTGAACCAAAATGGCAGCAGGAGGCAAGTGAGGTCTGTGATGTACAGGAACAGGGTTGGCTTCCTGGTACACAGAGCTGGGCAGACAGCTGGAGAAGGGGTTGCAGTGCCAAAGACCACTACTCAAGAATGAGAAAATTCACAGGACTTGGCACATAGAACAGCTAAGGTATTATTATGGCTTCAAGGTCAGTGTACCTTCTGGTTATAGCAGATGCCATCTTAGTATCTGTAAGCAGCAGCCATGGGGATCTACCTTCATGGTTGGCAAGGCCTCACTTTAGTGAGAATTGCTGTCTCTGGTCTGCTTAGTCTCATGGCTGTTTGTTCTGACATCAAGGCCTTAATTATCTTCTCTGTTCTCATCAAGCTAATTAGGCTGTTTTAACTTATAGCAGGTTTGGAGCAAGAAAAAAAATGATTTCTAAGCAAAGTTCTTTTGAAAAATTTGTCTGTGTGGGTACCACAGATCCCTTTCCATATGGTCATCGTCAAAGGCTTTCCTTTTTCTTATCTAATGGAGACTAAATGGCCATGCTAGTAACTGTCTTGCATTCCAGCTGCTGCTGCCCTAACATTAAATATGCAAGTTCCTAACAGCTTAAAAAATGTGTTATAAAAGCCTTTCTCTTGCCAGTTTGGCTGGCTGCTGTCCTTCCTCTACTTTCCATCCCTGTCACTGGTCCAGGCTATCAGAAGATCTGAGGCTCCCTGCCCTGCAATGCCTGTACTCACTACTGTGGCTGCCGTCATTCTTTTCCTTCTCCACCTGCTTACATGTCTTGTCACATCTCCCATTCTTCTCAGCATTCATGCTAGAAGGCTGGCCTCTTACTCAACAAAGCAGGCCAAACGGTTTCTGTCCTTCAAGGAGACAACCTGATTAAGCACTACAAATGAGATAAAAATCTTGAGTTGACTCTTGGCTGCTTATTGCTGAGTGACCAGGGTCTGCGGTTTTGTAGGCTGAATGTGATCACTAACCTGCTCACCCTGCAGTAAAATTAGACTGCACTTTGGTGTCGAGTGTGTTGTGAACAAATGTCAGTGAATTGGGTATGGCTTGGAAAAACAGAACTTGACTCCTGGGCAGTCTTATCTGGAAAACTCTCCCCACCTTTGGGTAAGGGCAGTAAGATGAAACAAAATGAAATATCCAGTCCTTCAGGAGGTAGATGCTAGATGCTCCCAGAGCAATGTTCTTTGTAACACTCAAAAACCAGTTTGTTTTAGGTATCATTGGTTGTGTAAAATGAAATAATTATCAGATTAGTTTCTTGCCATCTGATTAAGATGATAACTTCTGAAGAAATATATTCTTAAAGTTCACTTTTTATGGAGTATCTCTAATGTAAAATAAAATGAATGCTGAAATTTTATTAAACAACATGGTGACTCTGAAACAAAAACAATCCATGGGCCCTACCCTCAAAGAACTGAGTCTCTACAGACAAAATTCAAAAATTACTAATATGATTTAAAACCAGATACTTTATGAACATAAATATTGGCTAAAAATAATTAAATCTAAGTCATGTGGTCATGAAAATATGTGCACTGGATAATCACTAACGGTATGTGGAGTATATGAATTTCATTCTCACTTTGAAGACTTACAATTTGAGACCTACTTAGAAAATGTGTATTATCAAAACAATCAAAAGTATAAATTGTATTGAGAACAGGACAGAGAGGATTTATTAAGAGTAAGCTTGGCTTTCAAAGTAAATTCTGTCTAGGTATGGTGGTGCATACCTATAATCCCACCATGTGGAAGGCTGAGGCAGGAGGATCACTGTGAGTTTGAGGCCAGCCTGGGTGATAGCGAGTTCAAGGCCAGAGTGAACTACATAGTGAGACCCTGTCTTAAAAAAAAAAGTAAATTCTGAAAAGAACAAAGGACATGACGACCATTCTGATGCCACTGGAACATCTTCACTTAGCTCATCCAGGAAATGGTTATGGCACATTTGCATCAACTTAAACAAGACTCAGCTTTTGAAGATCTGAAAAATTCTACAATGAATAGCAATTGTCTTATTATATATTTAAAAGGTCATAATTAAGTACTTTAACTAACGACAACACAGCTACCCAGAGCCTAGACCAGTGGTGGCGAACCTATGGCATGGGAGCCTTGGCAGGCTGTTTATACCACTGAAAACTCTACAAGATTCACTGTCACTGCCCTAGACTGAGGATGCATAGCTCCTGGACCTTCTTGCTATAACCAAGGACAAAATAACAATAACCTATATTTAGGTATGGGTTTGAGTAGTGTACAGGGAAGCTCATTCTAGGCAGCATTAATTTTATTTAATAAAAGCACAAATAATCAAATCAGTCAGCTAATCCCTGTCTTAACAGAATTTTATCCACTTCCTTCTTAATTCTTAACACCAATGTCTAATGCAGTGATGAATCAAGAGCATTAAAACCAAACTATATGTGCCTTTTTCCTGTAGGAATCATTAGCCCAGTTATATAGGCTTAATGAACACAAAATTTTTAGGGGGAAGAGGTACAGAGATGTCAATAGCAAAGGACTACTACCTAATCTCCCCAAACTTTTCACCATGAAAAATTTCCATTACTCATTCTGAGGGCATTAAAATAATAAAAAACAGTTTACCATTAAGGTATGGGACATAAAACTAACCTGTAATTTTATGTGCAAAGTTAAAGCTACACCTTAACCAAATAGAATTCTTGACAATTATTATTCTAAAAATCAGTTTAAAAGGGTGTCGGGTGGGGATAATAATGTCCATTAGCAGAGAATGAATAAACTGTGATATAGTCAAACAATGGAATGCTAGTTAGTAACAAGGAACACAGTGAGAACATAGTCAGTATGAGATTCTCAAAATATTAAACAGACACACGAGTACAGTTTTCATTTATATGAATTTCTAGAACAAGTGACACTGATCTCTGATTAGAGAAGTCAGAACAATATTTATGTAGGGAGGGGCTACGTGGAAATGGATATAATGAAATTTTCTGGAGTAATGGAAGAGTTCTCTCTTTACTGGGATGGTGCTTGCCAAATCTCACAAATTTTAAATTGTTCCATTTTATTGAATGTAAATAATACCTCAACTAAAAAGTACTATTTACTTACCAGATCCTAAAGTTAGAGATAACCTACCACTAACAGAAATCATCTAATGAATCTTGTTATTATCAAAAACCCAACATAGACGATTCAGAAAGCAGATATAAAGCTTTAATTCATTGTGGCCATTTCTCTGACCATGCTTTATATTAGATATAAACTGTTTCATATGTCTTCCCACCGATTCATCTTTTATAAGACAGTGTTCCCTTTTATAAGTGCTGTATATCATACTAACATTTCTTTTAACTAATCAAGATACATTAAATAGATCATGAACCACCAATTAAATATAAATACAGAAATTAAATATGTACGTTAGAAAGTTTAAAACAAAATTTTAAAAAGCTAAATACCATGAAAGTTTACAAGTACTGACTTTAATTCTAGATATCACACCAGTGTGACAACCAATTAAGATTAAAATTCAACTACTTTTAGATGAGTACATTCAGATTCTAACTCCCAATTATTTTCATTTTCATAATGTCAACTTCACACTTTGTTTTCCTTTCTACACAAAGTAGACCAGCTTTCCAACTTTTGGGGGTCTTGTAGACCAAACTTCTTGTGTGATAAGAATAACTACTTATGGGCCGGGGATTTAGCTCAGTGGTTTCGCTGCCTGCTGCGCAAGCCCAAGGACCCAAGTTTGATCCCTGGTACCAAAAAAAAAAAAAAAAAAAAAAAGAATAACTATTTAGATCATGGTCATGGTCACAGGAAACCAAATTTATATTTCCTGTTCTATATAGAGTATCTTCAGTAGATAACTATATTCACTATATAATATGGAACTGTTCAGTGGTGGTGTTCAAAAGCAATTCAAATATTAGCTAAAAATGGGTTTTGCTACCACAATCACATATTTCATTAAAAGACAAAGTCTGGGTCAAAACATTTAGAAATAAACACATAGTACAGCCTTTACCCTTTCAAAATACCTAGAAAAAAGGGTCTAAACTAACTTAAAATACAAAAATATCTCAGAAAACGAACAGCATAAGATGTAATCTGAGCTGCAATCTTCCTGAGTCTATTTTCAATTGGAAGAAATTTTGCATCCAACACATTGATTTACTGTGCAGTCCACAGTATCCTATCTAGTTCATATCCTACAGAATTCTGAAAAAGACTCTTAAATACTCAACTAATTATACAAGAAAAAGCCCAAGTTTTATATTAAAATCTATGTGAATTTCAAACAGACTTTTTTTAAATAGTGAGTAAATGATGAAAATATATACACAGATCACCATTAAACACAGGAACAAAATGTCATTTGATGCATATCAAATAAGCCCCCAAAGAGCCAATTTGAACATATTTATTTTCATTTACTTTGACACAGTACTAGAAGGGACTGCATATAATTATGGAGACTGCTGCAAATAACACTTGATGCTAGTAAATGTTGTATTACATCAGGCATGCACAACAGTTACCTTTTAAAATTTCTCATATATATATCTAACACATATATCTTAAGCTATATTATACTTAAAGTATTTAGGGATTTTAAAGCAAATATTTTAACTGACTTATGTCTAAGTGGGGAAAATCGAACATTTCCTCCCAACTCAGTAACAAATGGTAACATTAAGCCTTGGTAACCACCCCAATTGCTAAACTCACTTATGTCATTCTTAAAATTCCAAAATTGATAAAAATTCTTATCAGTACTAAATAAGGAATATCATTTCCCAGCAGCAGTCTACCCACCATACACTTACAGCATGACAAATCTTTGAGGATTATGTAAGAGTGATGTGCCAGTGGCTACAGATGACAATCACTGAACATATCAGTCTCTTCTTTTTATTCTGTGTATCTTTATTTCAAACCAAATAGTTTTTCACTAAAACAAACTAAAAAAAATCTTTTTCTTTTGGTTAACATCAACATAGGAGTAGATACAACTAAAAAGCTTTATTGTCTTGCAGTGTGTGGAAAACCAGGAAATATTTCAATTACATCAAGAAAATCAGGCATAGGGAATATAGTGTGTTCTTTCATCTAAGAAGCATTCTGTCAGATAATAAAAAAACACAGACAAATTCAGATTGCTTGGTTCATGGTCATTTATGGCTTAAAGTACTTGATCTGAAAATCACTCAGGCTAAAATAAACTTATGTAAATAATGCATAGATTATATATCCAGAAAGTCATGCAATAAATGAATGTTCTCATGTACATTAGAATCTTAGTGAAGAAAGGGATGTGCAGGTATGAACAGTAATGCTTGTTTCCTTCTACCAAGAAAATACACATGGGAGGATCCTGGCTTTTGGCCTATTCAAGATTTTGTTTGCCAGATAGTCCTGATTTTCTCTGGTTGGTAAAAAGAAGTCAATGTCTTGACACCTGCGGTAGGAAACTGACTTGTCTCAAGTGTAGGTGCTGTGAGTGAGGTCCCAACTAGGCAGAACCAGACACTCTAGATCTTATCACCCTGCTGCAAAGTCAATAGGGAATACTGGACTACCTAGACTATTAACCAGGTAAGTGTTTAGAATGACCCACTGGAAATGTTTATTACATTAGTATCTTTTAAACACTCTGCCCTTTAGTTTAAGAATTGCCAGGTAAGAACCACTCCCTATTCCTGATTTTGATATGCCCCTACAACATGAGAATTGAACTGAACTACAATGATTGTAATGTCATCTCTGTACATCCGGGCAAGTTCTTCAGGAAGACTAAGCATTTTGGAGAGGCGCTCGTGATCAACAGCCCCAAACTCGTTGTTGCCCACAGCATGGCGAATGAGATGGGTTGCTGCATTCTGATCCTCAAATACTGAGGACATCTTGGCTCTCCTTTCTGTTAAAAGACCATGCATCTGTCCCAGAGTCACCTTGTAGCCACCAACAGCTATTGGCTGTTGGTGATGCATACCAGTTAAGTACTCACCCACAATCTTAACCACATCATGCCTATGCATGGTCTCCCACAGCCCATCAGTAGCCAACACCAAAAACTTATCCTGTGGCCTTAATCGGTGGTAAGTTACCTCCGGCTCAGCAGTGAGATAAGGAGGTGTGTGATAATTAGGAGGGATAAACTTGGTATATTCATTGTCGTTCAACTGGTCTGGGCCAGACTCTATCACTCTCTTTTGAAGATCAATGCTCCACTTGAACTTTACATCTCCAAACGCCCTAAAAGGCATGAGCAAGCCGAGCAGCCGGTCCTGTTTCACCACACTCTTGGCCTCACCCTTTGGGTGTTCCAACTTCAGCCGCTCCACTTCTCTGTCATTCTGAGCATTGTGGTCATTAGAGAGCGTGACTGCTGACCAAGAGCCATCCTCTTCTTGCACGCCCAGCATGGCTCTGCTATCCCCGGTATTTGCCACATGGAGGTCAACACCATCCACGTGGGCCACACAAGCAGTGGCCCCAGAAAATGCCACCCGGAGCACCAGGTAATTGAGGAAAGAATTGGGATCACCAACTTGAGCCTCCAAAGAGATGTCATTATCAAGTCTCTTGAAAGCGTTAATTAAAGCCTCTTTCACATCAATATCAGTTGACTCGCCAGTGTTGAGGTCTATAAGCTCTTGCCAGTAAGTCCTCAAGCTGTTGAAGTACAACTTTGACGCCTCCTTACTGAAGTAATCGTTGGGGTGCTTGTGCCACTGGAGGATGGGCAGCAGTGCCCGACCACTCTCCACTGCGTTTTCAATCTCCAGCAAAGTCTCATGGGGTAACAAAGAGACAGCAATGTAATAAAAGAGTCTTTCACTGACTGCCTGGGAGCAAGCACAGCCTGCGTGGCCATCAAAAACCCCCAGAAGCATCCCTCTAGTTTGCAAGCAGGTTGCTGCACTCCTTCGGTCCTCAATGGGTGCATTTGCAGGCAGCTGATTGCTGTCAAATCCAAGGATGGAACTGACATTTTTGCCATCAAATTCTGGCACTTTGAAACTGTATTCATTAGCTTTAAGGATACTGTTGACTTGGGGAGGTGTGAGGTAAAATTTCTGTGGTGTGGAAGCATATCTCCTCCCTTGGGTATACTGCCACCAGCTCTCCTTTGGCCTACAAAAGGTAGCATATGCTGGATGGGGTGTGTATCTCAGGCGACTCTGAGAAAGGTAGGGTGACGAACAGCAGAGATGTTTATGGTGGCAGTAACATGCAGTGCCATAGATTCTGCTCAGTTCACAGTTACGGACAAGAGGAAAAAACAATTGAGTCGGTGCTGGCATGGCATCAGAGAACAGCGGCAGGCTGGAACTTCTGACTGGGATTCCTGGACAGCAAATTAAGACAGATGTACATAAAGAAAAGAGTTACACCTCAGATTTCTTAATCTAGCTTTGCTTTTATAGAAAATATTTAGTAAGTGAATTTACATGCTAAGCCCTGTGCTAGGTACTATAATTTATACACTTATCATATACTACTTCTACAGAGAGTACCATGGTAATTAATACTCCTAATCATTCATGGAGCCAGGACTGAACTGTACTTGAACTTCACTTTTCTCTGTATTTCTTTCTGCGGTACAAACTGCGCAGAATGTACAATAGCCTTGACCAGCAAAAGCTGAGGAAATGAAGGTTATATAACATTATGTTGCAGTAGTCTACCTGGCCAATCTCTTGTCTCTATCTTTTTAAGCAAAGGCCTTGGGGGCCAGGGATTTAGCTCAGTGGTTCCGCCGCCTGCCTTGCAAGCGGAAGGACCCAAGTTCAATCCCCGGTACCAAAAAAAAAAGGCCTTGGATCTCCCACTTTGTGCAAGGACTTTTCCCATTTCTGAAGATTCTGTTTCAAGACCTGTGATCAACTGTCGGCATTTGATTACACGTGACTACTACCCTACCTCTCTAGACCACTGTGCCAACTCAGCAAGCTAAGGAGCTAAGGGACATAGGTCTATCACCAACTTACCAAATAATCCTGGAAAAGACAGTTCAATTCAGTGGGTCTCATTCTCTTAAACTATAAGTTAACATATAGAAGCAGATGCTCTCTAAGCCTCTAGGTCCTTACATTTGTTGAGGTAAGGCTTTGAAATCAAATTCACATTTCCTTTATTCACTGCTGAATTATACTATGTCCCTTGTGATAAAAAAATTAAGCATTCTAGTAGGTCTACAGCTTTGCTAGTAATATAATCTCAGTTCTAGAATTTAATTTACTTGCTATCATTGTCCTTAGCTTAGCAGTCATAAAAGAAAGCTATAGAAGTATTATTTTTATCTATATGGACCCCTAGGAGAATTTACCTCTAGAAAAATTTTTCTTATATTAAAAAAAAAAAAAATCTCTATTTGCCCAAGGAGAGCAATCAAGAATAACCATATAGTAGGTTTGGATTATAAAGGTATGGAATTATAATTACAAATTTTTAAAAATCATATGACACTAAAAATTTGCTGGGAATTCACGTGGAAAATTTAATGAATGTAAGGCATTATTCCAGATAATACAAATGTGATTTAAAAACTCCTTTCTTCCTCAGTAACAATTTTCCCTGAATTCTTAAGATACTGCATCAAATTATTTGTTGGATTATAGACTTTAACAATAGCTTAAATAAACAAATATAGTAAACAACATGGAATAAGGAAAAATAAAGCCATCTGAGTCTTAATATCAACTATTCTTTCCAGAGGCTGATCCGATTAAGAGAAAAATTTACAGATATTATAGTGTTAGCGATGTATTAAAGTATTTTCATGCATCTTTTCTATGAGAAATGTAAGTAGGGAAGCAGAGAAACTAAACACTGAAAAATCACTGTTTCTTGGTTGTTTTCCTAATGGGCACTATTTAAATGAGTCACACAGATCACCATTTCTAAGTAACAGAAAATACCATTATTTTAACTGTCCTATCTAAGAAGGGATTTGTTTACAAAAATGAATACAAGATCAGGCAATAGAAAGTAATGACCAGAATTTTGAAAATAAGAATCTATAACTCAATAAACATCTTGAAATGCAGCAATGTAAAACAGAAATTCCAGAAGAACAAGAATCTACCAGGACTAAATAACAGCACTTAAATAACAGCACTTCAAACTGAATACCTGAAAGTCATCCAAAGGTTAAGTGTAAAGGACTGAGCCAGGAGATGTGCGCAAATGTTGGCCACCTGACACTGGCCTCCAGATGCAAATCCTATCTCTTTTCAGGTTTGCATGCAGAAAACACATGAACTCATTTTTAACTGAGTATAAATATTTTTCTATTATTAAAAATGTATAATAGATGCAATATTTATAGAAATAAAATTTCCTCAGAATCTTCTAAGTCTCTATTTGTCCTCACTTTAAAACTTAAGATGGGTGGGAAGATGATAAATGCACAACAAGGTTTGACTGCAGGACATAAGCCCAGGAAACCAGCTTTTTCCTTAAATTCCCGTGTTTTGACAATATTTCTGCTTTTACAGTTGACTGCAAAATGAAGTTTATGGCAAAAGAGGACAATTCATGGAGCAGGTCCTTTGAACAATATTTAAATTCAAGCACTCAAATATTCAACTACGTTTCTCCATCAAAGGAAAAGTACTGGGGATTAAAGACAGAAAGCAGAGTGAAATTTTTCAACTGTATTTTTTCAGTTATTCAGGAGTTTAGCATACAGACTGAGAATCCTAATCCTCCAGCTCCTAACATGCCTTCAAAAGACAAATTCTTAGGGAAGGAAGAATTCATGAAAACCCAGCTCTGATTAACGAGCGTAATATCTTATCACTACAAATGGTATGTACTGTATATTTGCCCCATCATGCCAGATACCTTTAGAAGCCAATGTACTTTCAAATGCTGTGATTAACAATAAGTGAGCATGAAAAACTCTTTATCTTTCTAAGTATCTTCTGATCCAATAATAACCCTTATGGAATCAAAACTTCTGCTGATAAACTTGCTAAATTAACAAAGTGGAAGGTGCTTGATTACGCAGTGAAACATAACACGGTACAATTTTTGGTAGACTGGAGCAGTGCCAATTTTTTAAGTTATTCCTAACTACAATTTTACTGAAAAGTTCCTACCCCATGTTCCAGACACAGCCACATTATATGCAACATCTTAGTCCTAGGTAGCTTTGGCTGATTTTGCCAATGACTAATAAGAAAAGATGTGCTGCAACCAGATACAGGAAAGGGCTCCATCCATTCTTATTGATGTGATCGGCTCAGTCTGTGCCAAGATATTATTCTGTTCATCGATAAACCCGCGGCCAAATTAATTAGAAAATGCTATCAATGTACCTACTCCGGAGCTATTTACCTTTGCAGAGCTTCTGATGCAAATGAAAAAGAAATGTTAAACTAGTAATTTTGACATAACTATGTCAAAATCTCGGTTTATGTAATCTGATTACATTAAACACACTGCATAAATAGTCTTTTCGATTTTTCAGCATTTTCTGGAAATGCCGAGCCATTTCACAGCTCCCGTGAATGAAAAACTGGTTTCCTTCAGAAGACACAAAGCACCGGGCCAGCACTTGTTTGATCAGTTCCCTTTGTCCCTACCTGAAAATCGCAATTAAGGCATCAAAGCTATCCCAGTCCAGGACGCCTTTGTCTTCTTTTGCTATCTATCTCACTCCTAATTCCACGCCGACACGCCTAACATCATCCATACACAAAAGCGGTCACCATCCTTCCTGGGTACTCGGACGCAGGTAGTTAGGCGGATACCTACCAATTCGTCTGGGCCCGGGACACACACACATTCTCCTGTCATCACAACACGGAGCCGACAACATCCACAACCCGCGCGGGCAGCAGCAGCGACAGCAGCACCGGCCCATTGAAAGCAAGGCAGAGATGCTCATTAGAGGCGGCGACGGTGGGGAGGCGGGAGCAGAGGAGGGGCGAGGTCTCGCGGCAGCCCGGCGAGCGGGCCGGGAGGGGGAAGAGGATGGAGGGGGAGAAAGGGGTGGGGAGAAGGAGACCAAACAAACAAACCCACCCCGCAGTGGAAGCAGAGCGCGACCCGTGGAAGAAGAGCGCGCCCCGGCCCCTCCGCGCAGCCCGGGCGCCGAGCGCCGAGCCCATGAGCGCGCGCACCGTCCGGCCCCACGTAGCGCCGGCGGACGCTCCCCGGAGCGCCACCTCCCACGGGTGACAGCGGGAGCGGAGCCCGGAGATGGGCGACGGGCAGGCAGCGCGGCGGGGACTCTCAGAGCCCAGGCCCGCGCCGCAGACCCCGGACCGGGCACCCGGCGCGCACCTGGCGCCCTGGGCCCAGCCGGCCCGGCTCCCGACGGCCCGCCCTCCGCACGGCCGCGGCCTCGCGTCCCAGCCCCGACGCCCCCTCACAACTTCGCACCGAGGAAGGACTCCGGACCGGGCGGTTGGGGTCTGGGAGTGGAGAATACGAACCGGGCACAGCGAAAGGCCGGCCGCCTCTTCCGAACGTGCAGGCGGCGGGACACCCCCCGGGCGCTCCGTCCAGCAGCCGCTCGCAGCTACCCGGAGCGAGGAACCTCGCCCCCGCTCCGCCCGCTCCGCGCCCCTGCCCCGCCAGGCCTAACACCCTGCCCCGCCCCGCCCGCGCGCCCCGGCCCGAGCGCTCCCCGCCTCCTGATTGGCTGTGCGAGAGCGAGTGGGCGGGGAGGCGAGGAGCGCGCCGCTGCCTGGAGGGCGGGGACGGAAGAGGCGCGCGCTGCCTGCCAGTTTTGTGACGTCACGGAGGTCAGACAATCCCTTCCATTCGGCGCAGGACGCCCATTGGTTCCTGGTGGCTGTCCTCATGACCGCGCCCAGTGGCGGATGGAGGGTGGATGAGTGCTGGTCTTGGGAGAAGCTGCCTGTGAGAGGTGGTGATGACTGCTGGCCGCTGGCCGAGAAGGAGGAAGCGCCCGGGCTTCAGCGCCTCTGCGCTCGTGGGGCCCTGGGGACCGTCCGCTTCCCCGCTAGGCGTGCTTCCGCGAATCCCTGGCACTTAGGTGGGGGACGCTGGAGCTGTAGGCCGGCCTGACAGGCGAGCCTGCCGCGCGGCTCTTACCGCCGCTTGGTGCGGGCTGTCCTGAGTGAATTGCAGGAGTGAATCCCAGCCCAACGGAAAACCAAACTGCCCGCAGTCCCTCCCAGCCTCTGATGTAAGGCGTGACAGAATTTCGAGTATGTCTGTTGCTTCATTCATTCACAAATTACAGATTAAAGGAACATGAGTTCGGCTGTTTCTGTCGTTTTTCTAGACAGTTCTCAGTCCCAGGGAGAAAAAGCTGGTCTGAAAAGCTTCAAGGGGGAACTTTTGATGAAACAATTCTTCCCCTTGAAGAACAGGTGTGTAGTCACCTCCTTTGAAGGACTTTGAAATCCGTATCGTCTGTTTTGTTTCTCTTGACTGGTTACAAGGAAAAGGCGTAGGATGCAGCCCACAAAAGTGGGAAGAGCCCTTCCAGTCATTCCCAGTGATGGGTGGATTTCCCTTCCATGGGACTCAGCTTCTGCCTCTGAGCTGAGGTTAGGCTTAGGTTGTCATTGGCCTGGGATGTGACTAAACAAGGCACATAGGGCCTTTCTCTCACCTCCATCCGTGCATATCTCTATAGGAAGCGGCTTCAAAAATCTTCACTTCCTGCCACTCGCAAGATCCCAACTTTATGGGATAATGTCTTCTAAAAGCTTCCTTGAAAGTATCAGGTGGTCATTGCACTTACCCTGCCTGATGTTAACCAACGAGTTGACCTTGATTTATAATCTTTAGCTCTTTACTAGCCCATAAATTTTTCCAGGTGATGTGGACTTGATATGAAAACTCACGTTAGCAATACTGTGCAGATCTATTAATCCTGAATTACCTGACTTATGTAAGAAAGGGAAAACTTGATGTATCCAAACTAGATATTCGTAATTCCTGGATCTTTCAAGCAGCCCCTTGTGAATAAATTAGTCTTTTGCTATCCTCAGGGAACTCTTGTGGCTAGTCTTCTGGCCTTCATCTAGCTTTACCTAGGTCCATTTGCCTCACTCCACCCCCATTTTTGCTTCTCAAATGAGCTTCCTATAAATTTACAAGTACCTTTTTGTTTGTTTGTTTCTTTTATCTCATTTGGTTATCTCTTTTTTTGTTGGCCCTCAGAGGCAGCATGAGATGGTGTAGCATAATAAGTAAGAACATAGCTGGAGTCAGACTGCCTTGGATTTACCCCTGCAACTTACTGTGTGGTCTTGGACAGCCTCTGCTGTGTCTCAGTTTTCTCATATGTCAGATAAAAATAAAAACTAATAACTCACTAGGTTGTATTGAGTTGACATATATCTATCTATCTATCTATATATTACATAAAAGGTAAGTAAGTGATATATGTGTTGAATATTATAGACATATCAAGTCAGTGTTTTAGATTAAGAACTTCAGAACAGGAGACCCAGGTCCCAAAGGACAACATATTCTATAGCTAAAACTAGTGTTATTAATAGAATGGAGAGTCTTGGAACCTCGGGATATCAGTTTAGTTTACATAAATCTCACTGCCTCTTAGCCCCTGCTTTGAAGCATGGAGATGAAATAACTGAGGCTGAGTGGATTATTAAGGGTTCCTGCCTGGGGGGGCTAGAAAAGAAGTTTGTAATAGACTTTTCTGTTGTCTGTAAAAGTTTTCCTAACGGTTATCAATGTAGTAATGGTCTCCAGAACCTACACATCGAAAGGAGATAACCTCTTCAAAGTTGTTACCTTAGTAGCATACACCCTTATTCCACAGTGATATCACCATTATTCAGAGTATTATATAAGGGCTGGGGATTTAGCTCAGTGGTTCTGCCACCTGCCTTGCAAGCAAAGGTCCCATGTTCGATCCCCAGTACAAAAAAAAAAAACAAACCCCAAAACAGGATACTTTCAAAATTCCCTTTTCAAATTGTTTTCACATCTGCGCAGGCAACTCTAACTTGTTTTACTATAATCAACTCTGGTTTTATAGCAGAATAGTATTGATTGCCCCTACCTTATTATTCTTAGTTCTGGATGATCTAGCTATTTCTGAAAATAATACTCACCCTAAAAAACTCTGATATTTGCCATCACTATAGTCAAAAGAATTTGTCATCAAGATTGCTAAGGTATTTCTGGAATCAGAATAAATCCTCTCCAAAGTGATGGATTTGAAATAATCTGATTTAGAGGTGTAAATTTTGTTCTCTAGTTGCAAAGTTGTGTGATTCAGTGATATGCATGCTATAAATAAAGTTCCAGTCTTTCTGTAGAGACACCAGTTGCTGGTACACTGGAGGAGGTTCTTTTGTATCCCACTTTGACTTCCTTCTGGCCTGGCCTTGTTCCTGTTTCTAGATGGAATTCCATCTGGCCACCCAGTAGGCTTTCAAAGGGTCATTTGTGACCATGTGACCATCTGACCAAGGCCGGGGAAAGACCTTGAGTTTGCTGCTCTGACCTCACAGACTGTTTTAGCAACACCTGTTGATATGTCATCGTTGAAAAGTGTGAAAAAGTAGCACTGAAACAACCCAGGATTGTTGTAGAGAAGGGACAGGCGAGAGGAAGGGGCTTCAAAAATAGTGTAATACAAAAACAGCACTAGGTAAAAATACCTGCTTTGTCTACACAAATTCTTTCTGTGATACTAAAACTGTAAGAGAGTTCCTGACTGTGACCCTTAACAGTCATTCTCTTACCTTATAACAAACCTAGAAATGAGAAAATGCTTGAGCAGATTGGCCTGGTGGTGTGGGAGGATGAATGGATTCTTGGGGATATTGGGGGTTAGCTTGAGCAGCACACCGATGATCCAGTAGCTTCAGTGATCTCAGCCAGGAAGCTTAAAATAGACCAGCAAGTGGATCTGAGATGTTTTTAGCAAGCTGGTTGCTGACTTACTGTGGCCTTTGCCAAAATCAGCAATCAGAGAAGGAAGAGAGGCTGGTTTACCACATTTCTCCTTAGCTCCTGTTTCCCCACAGGTCTCCATTAGGATATCAGCAAGTAATTACTCAGTAAGTAAACCATCTATGTTGAGTTGCTTCTTTAAAATTGGCTTACTTGGAACTATGCTGTGAGATTGGCAAATCATCTACCTAGACGCAGCGGAACATGTGTTACGGCTCATCTCCTTCAGACCAGAGGCTGTTCCAGGTGCTTTCACATTTGTCTCATTTTATATTTGAAACCTGTTCTCATCGTGTTTCAAAAGTCAGTAGGACAATTGAAGGGGAAAATAAGTCAAACTTCATTGTCTTGCAAAATTAGAAAAAAAATTCTTTTGGCTAGCAGGAAGTTTCTGTTCATTCTTGACCTGATTAAAAAAAAAATAAGTATCTGGGGTTGCTTGATTATAGAGGTTCCGGTCCTTTTAGTAAGAAGACAATATCTGTGGACCTGAAGTGGTACACAGACACCTGCAGACTTACAATGGAGTTACTCCCTAATGAACCCTTCAGAAGTTGAAAATGCATTGTACACCCCTTAACCTGCTGAACATCATAGCTTAACAGCACCGTGAACCGGGTATCAGTTGTTGCTTCTCATGCTCATGCAGCTCACAGCCTCAGCTTGCTGTCACTGTCCACCACTGAAAGGGAGTATTAGGCCATATACCTGTAGTCCAGGCAAAGGGCAAAATTCCAAATTTGAAATATGGTATCTACTAAATTATATTCCTTCACATTATCTTAAAATTTAAAAATAATTTCATCAATCAAATTAAGGACCATCAATACTTCAAAAGTTCCTGTTAATGAAGATATCTTCAAAGTTAAGAATGACATGTGGGGCCGGGGATTTAGCTCAGTGGTTCTGCCACCTGCCTCAAAAGCGCAAGGTCCTGAGTGTGATCCCTAGTACCCCTCCAAAAAAAAAGAAAGAATGACACGTATTGGTGAGAGGGGAGGAGTGAAGAGGGACTTGGTATTACTGTGTTGCCATCAGACAATCTGGCAAAGTTTTTCATTTCACATAATTTAGTATAATTCTGCAGATAGATTCCTCAAAATATAGAGGGTAGAAGTGGAAGAATGGCTCCAGGGGAGCTGAGGCTTTGGGAATTGTCAAGATTGAGGTGTATTTACAATAGGTGCAAGGTCATGGGTGCCTCAGAACCAGGTCCTGCCAATCTGAAGACTTCAGGAGTTCCCAAGTTATGACCTCAGAAATAGTAGCTGCCGATTACACACTTCTTCAAAGTGACAACTCTTTGCTTAGCTACCAGAGTATAGGCTGCTCGAGGGCAAGGACCATGTCTTTTTTTTTTTTTTTTTTGGTACTGAGCATTGAACTCGGGTCCTTGCTCCTGTGGAGCAGGCGGCGGTGGAACCACTAAGCTAAATCCCGGGCCCAACCATGTCTCTTTTGTGCACCAATATAAATCTGTGGTCTGGAATTCAATGAAAGCTATCAGGTAGTGAGTGCTTCCTTCATACCACCCCCATTCTAAGAGCATTTCCTCAGAGTGAAATAGGTATTATCCCTATATCCATTTCACAGGAGAGAAAATTGAGTCTCAGTAAGGGTAAACTGCCCAAGATCTTGTAAGTCAGAAGGGAGAGGGCCATCTATTCCCAGAGCTTACCCTCTAAGGCACTATGCTATAGTGACCACTACATAGTAGGTGCTTGGTAATGAATAAGTGAACTCATTTGAAGAAAAATGGGGCATGCTGCAACAGGTGAATGCTTTCAGAATATTTCATGAATGAATGGATGAATGAATGTCACCTTTTGAAACAATGCAATGTCAGAATTGGGACTCCTGAAATTATACATTTGTGGAGCTACAGAAAGTGTCACATTTTCATTATGGATTTGAGGCAGACTACATCCTTATATTGCAGAATTTCTCCCCATGCTTATTATGTCTGTAACCAGCAGTACAGTTTGAAAAGCTAAGTGTATCACTACTTGACCAGGAGAGCACAGCGAGGTTGAGTTATGGTTTCTCAGGAGAACCAATCATTGCTATAAAAGCACACTTTCCTTGGATACCAGATATTATTTGTAGATAAATATCTAATATATTCAATTATATTCTACTGATAAACTATAGTTGATTTTAGTATATGGAGTGAACAGTCTACCAAAAGGAATAAATTAGTGTTCAAATTAAAATGCTATTTTTACTTTTAAGCAATATCAACTGGAGAGAAAATGTTTAAGGAGACAGAGAAGACAGTGAGCTAAAGGGGAACATTAATAATAGCTGTCATGTGTCTGTCGTAGTCAGTATTTGCAAGAAAACAGATTGAATGCAGGACACAGAAATCTACTAAAGTACCTTACAATATTTGCCCAGAGTCAAATGTAGAAAAAAGTACAAAAGTTCTGTCCATGCCAGAGATATGAAGAATCAAGCCAAGGGCCTGGATCCCATGGCAATGTCCCGTCCAAGTCCAGCCAAAGGCCTAGAGCCACAGCAATATCCCGCAGAGTCGCTATCAGGAGGCTGAGGAATCTCGATGAAAGACTGGAGGGTCTGCACTAGAAAGCCCAAGGGCTGGTGCTGGAGGCTGGAGAGTGCATGCAGCTGGGCTGGAAGGCCAGTGCTGGAGGCCAAAGTGTCTGTGCCGAAAGCCAGGAGGCAATGCTCAAGAGGAAGGTGAAGACCAGAACTCCTGCAGAGAACAGCAGCCATCCCTGGCAAAAGCAAGGACAGGAACTCCTCGGAAGAGAACAGCTAAAGCTTCTTTGGGGAAAATGAGTAGCAACAAAGCTCTTCCAAGGGAAACCAATATGAAATCCTCCCCACCCATTCTCCTTTTATACCATTCCAACAACAGTCCTCCTTACATGGGTCTTCCAAGCCCAGAACCATGCTGACTTGGTTCAGGTGGGTATTCCTGCTCAAGTTGACCATTAATGAATTAACCACCACAGTGTCCAATGTCTGTTCAGAACAATGGGCTCTGGGACTGTAATCAAAGTATTTAGAGATTTACTCAGGAATACTGTATGGATTGTAATTTTTATCCCTCCTTAAGACATCATGGTTCTGTGGAGTATGAGTTGGCATCATGAAGACCTGAGTTCAAATCCTGCCTCTCCATCTTACTAGCTGAATATTCTTTCAAAATTTACCCAACAGCTTCAAGTTTTTTAAAAATCTAAGGCATGTTATAAGGATTAGGAATAATGTGATGGAAAATGCCAAATGATGGCTGGTAAATAACACCAAATGTTAGCTCTTTTGGGCTCCCAATTGCTGTTGTAACAATGATCACAAGTGGAGTGTTTTGAGGCAACACACTCATTACATTTGGTTTTGCAGGTCAGGAGTCTGACTTGGGTATCAGTGAGCTAAAGTGAAGGTGTCAGCAGGCACCAGAGGAGAATCGATTTCCTTTTGTACTTTGCAAAAGTTGCCATCTTTCCTTCTTGCATGGCTCCTTTCTCCAATCTACAGCAAGCATAGTGGCATCTTCTTTTGGTACCGGGGATCGAACTCGGGTCCTTGCACTTGCGCAGCAGGCGCTGAAACCACTGAGCTAAATCCCCGGGCCCAGAGTGGCATCTTCAAAGGATCCTCTGACTCTGTTTTCTGCCTTCCTTTATAACAGACCCCTGTGATTACAGTCAGCCACTGTTCTAGTGTAGGATAGTCTTTTTTAAGATTAATTGGTTAGAAACCTTGATTTCATGTGTACCTGTGTTTCTCCTTTGCCATAGTCACAGGTTTTGGGAATTACAGCATGGGCACCTTTTATAGGGGGAAGGGACATTTTATTCTGCCTACCACAGTGCTTTGCTCTTAAAAAAAAGAAAACACAAATAATGAAAATATTCTTATCACAAGAAACCTAGTATTTAGGTAGAGAGCTTAAAAATGATCATCCACAAACAACTAACAATACAAGGCAGAATGTAACAATATTCAGAATGAGACACTCAAATTTGCGCTACAGGATTTTTGGGGAGGAATCACTTGGGGGTATGTGAGAGAAGAAAGAACTCACTGGAAATTTTATCTGTGAGCAGTAAAGAAATGAGTGACCATTAACCCCTTATTTATTCTCCCAAAGGGAGCTGTAGTCTTAGCTTTCAAGAGCCTGGGCGTGTGGCACAGGCCTGTAATCTCAGTTCTGTGAGCAGGAATTGGAGCTAGGTTTAGAGAACAAGACTGACATCCAGAAAAGAGGGTAGAGGTGGTGCATCCTGGGAGGGAAGTACAGTGCAGCGAGGCCCAGTGAGGAGCAGGAGTGAATCCCAAAGGAGGAGCTGTTTTGGGCAAAAACTGAAAGTAAAAATGGGGACCTAAGGCTGGACCTTGATTTTCAAAGGTCTAAATTCAGGAATGTTGGATTTCCTCATCTTCCAGTCAGAAGGCGACTAATCCTTAACTAAATCATCATGAAAGGAGAGAAAAGTACTGGGACAATGATATATGCCTCATGGCTCCATGGGAAAGAGTTAGATGACTTGCCTAACTATGAAAATAGAGAATTAAAGTACAGAGGTAGACAATGGCACAAAACGTAAAGGGCAGAACATATGAGAAGAGCCATTACTTAAAAAGTCAAGACTTGGAGGTGAGGTAAATAAGAAAATGTGAAAAGCAGAGGGTATGACAGAGGCCCAAAGCTTTCTACATGGGCGGCCATGAGTATGGATGTTTACGGCCACTGAGTTTATTATTGTTGTGGAAGTAATGTGAAAAAACAATGAGAATAGCCAGGGTTTTTCAAAAGAGCTGCTAGTGAGTTTATGGCAGAAAGGGAACAGTTTTTAATATTTGTGAACATGGAAAGTCATCTGTGAAGGGCAAACATTTTTTAGAAGTGAGCTGTGGTACTGGCAAGACATCATTCTGAGAGGTCAGAGTTCTCACAGGCCCTGATGTATGAGTGTGCTGTGGGCCTGCTTGGTACACTTTGTAGGCATCACCTCCTTTCATTAAGTTACCTGTGTCTCTGAAGGAGCAGCTTGAACTCTATGCTGTGTCTGCTTTAGGGCAGCACCCAAGGGAAATTCCCATCCATACTAGCACTGAGGATAATTCTATGTCTTTGAAGTAATTGGGTTTTTAAAAAACATTTCGACTCTGAACTGAATAAATATCTGCTTATGTCTTTGTGAGTGCAAAAGGGTAGAAGAAGCGGTAAGAGTTGTTACTCAAAACTTCAAAGCCAGAATTATATCCCAGTTATAGAATTCGTGTAATATATTATTTTTAAGTTTCTTTCCTGTTTCTGGTTTTCTCATTTGGTTTTCTCTTCTCTTTTCTCTCTTAATTTATAATGTATTAAATTTTATGCATCCCTGAAAGTGGCCATAAATCCATTCTGGAACAAGGGGAGGGTAAGTACAAATGCGTTTCTTTTTATATTAGTCCCTACATTATAAACGAAGAAGCAGAAGCTCAATCTGTCTAACTTGCCCAAGATCACAGTTGGTGTGTTGCCTAATGCTGGATAATAAATCACTCCCCAAATTAGCTTAAAACAACAAGCATTAATTCACTCAGCTTCTGAGGATTAGGAATGTGGGAGCAAATTAGCAGGGTGGTTCTAGCTCAGGAGCTTGCCAGGCGGCTGTGAAGGTGTCAGTCAGGACTTCAGTCATCTGAAGCCTCAGCTGGGGTTGGGGAATGTGCTTCCACTTCACCCACACGGCTGTTGGCAGAACAGTTCCATTCCTTGTCACCTGGGTCTCTCTATAGGGTCGCTCATGACATGGGAGCTCACTTTCCCTGGAGTGAGTGGCCCAAGAGAGAGAAAGAATGACCCAGACAGAAGTTATGATGTGGGCATATAATCGTCACTTCTAAGTAGCATTCTGTTGGTCACATCAACACTGGGGAGATCTGGGAGGATGTGAATCCAGCAGCACAAACCCCTGAGGGCTGTCTTGAAGGCTGCCAGCCACAGTCAGTAAATGATGGAGCTAAGCTTGCATGATGCTGCTAGGGGAATGAACACGAGCAAGTGTAATGGTCCGTGTAGCCGGTTCTTCTTCTGCTCCTGCTCTAAATTGCCATTGCTGCCACAGTTTCATCCATAAAGTTTTCTGTAGCCTCAAAACTCAACGCTTCTGAAGGTAAGTCCGAATTTGAACCTTAAACCAACACTAAGCATTTGAACTGTTGGGTACCACTAAGGAGATAAAATCATAGCTAGCATAAAACAGGATATGCTTACATGCTCAGAGCTGGTAGTATCAGAAACAGTGGATTATAATTTTACTTCCTTGTACTTAAGTTTATGGGAAATGTATGTATATAAAGGATAAAAGGTTTTGGTGGTTCCACCTTTCTTAAAGGGCAGTTGCTAACGTTAGGAGAAAACTCATAAAGGTATTTTTATGGAATATATTTTTATTGCATTGCGGAACTGTGGCCATATTTTGTCAGGGAAATAAATTAGAGAATATTGTTTTCCTGGTTTCAGGGAACTTCTGGGCTCACTGTTCAGTTTTCAGACCACAAATCCATGACTCACAAATAAACAACTTGAATAAATGAGCACTGAAGATCTCATTTAGTACTGGCCATCACCTTAGCTTTGGTAATTCTTATTCTACTCTGCTGGAAATTCCATTTTCATTTGAAAAGTGCGTAAATTGATGTTGCTATCATGTTTAAATTCAACCCCAAACCAATTTCTTAGCTGAGATTGCTTGTCTGAACAGTGGTGTTTACTAGTTGTTACAACTTCAGATTAAATTCATAAGCCACTGCTGTGTGCTGGGAGCATTTACAGATTTTTATAACCTTTATTTACTTATTTTTTTACATCTCTAGGACTTCCTTCAAGGGAGGGCCTCTGTGATATGCTCATTTGCAAATAAGATGATCCATTTTGTCTAGGGAGAGAATCCTCTTTTACATTTGACTGACTCGTGTGCAAATTAATTTGACAAAGACTCTTAGGATGTTTTATGTGTTCTAGACTTTGTGCTACATTCTGCAAATGGAGAGAAAATAAGACTCAGCCTTTGTGCCTTAAAAAACTTGTGGTATATCTACTAGATGAGCATTAGTGGGAAAATTATGAAACTGTGTGAAGTGACAGAAGTATTCACAAAATGCTTGGGGAAGAAGGAAAAAGGGATTATTTCTGCCTGGTAGTGGAGGGGTGAGATGTCAGGAAAGACTTTCTTTTTGATCAGTGGTCCCCAAATGTGAGTCCCAGAATAACAGTAGAATTTTCACTGATCTGTGGCAGAATTTGGGTGGAGCAATGATTTTTTCAAAAATAAATTCTACAAGCTAACTTTATGATTTTTAAAAATTATTTTTCCTTAGATTACTTCCATGTATTTTCTTTTATGTTGTCCTGTACTACATGAAGTGATAATGATAATATGTTATGTATATTTTCTTTAATTGTAAAATGAAATTCAACCATCTCACATCAGTCCCCATTTTTGCATGTTCATTCATTTATTGGTCCCCCAAGTGGACACCATTAGGAGGCTGGCTCTGGACGATTGCATGTGAGATGAGGTTGGAAGAGAGATACTCTCATACAGAAAGGAGCTCCTACTGTTGGCCTGCCAGCTGTTTCACTACATCTGCCTTAAAGAGAAATTCAGAAAGGAAAAGTGTATGCTTGCTTTTTACCACTGGTTTTGAGTGTTTTTCTTGTATGTGTTTGGGAGAGCATTGAGGAGAGGTGAGAAGCAAGACAGAAAATCTGTGCCCACAGTGACGGAGACTGTAGAAAGCACTGTTGCCAACATGGAACCTGGTTGGGAAGGATTTTCTCACTAGAAAATCGCACATAGCTTAGAATTATAAGACTTGCAGATTTCTATATGTTGGGTTATAAAAGAACATTTGTGTATAGAGTCCCCCATCTCCCAGATTTTCAAAGGAGAGAGGGTTAAAGCCATTGGATCTGTGTATCTAAGCAAACCAGCAGTAATGGAATCTCTTTTTTTAGCACTAGGGATTAAACCCAGGGTCTTCCTTCACACAGAACTACATCCCCTGTCCCCTCCTCCCCATCACCATTTTTATTTATTTTGAGATAGGGTCCCACAGAGTCACTAAATTGCCTGGGCTAGGCTTGAACTAGCAATCGTCACATCTCAGCCTCCCAGAGTGCTGGAATTACAAGCAAGCACCAGAACACCCAGCTGGCAGTGATAGACTCTTTAATGCCTCTCTGCCAAGGCTGACCATGCTCGGTGTTCTCATTCAGCTCACCTGCAATAGCCAGCTTTCTATCCATGTGCACAAGGATCCCTCTCCGGAACTGAACTACATCCATAATTTTAGGGAACGTGTCATCTTTGAAGAGGGATTCAAGGAGAATCACAGAGACTATTAAAAGATTGAATAATATCAAAAAGATGTTTAAGAAGAGTATAGGTTGGTATTCCTTTATCTGAATTCTGGGGGTGTTGACCTTACAGGAATTTAATCTGCCCCGAGTTCCTCCCCAACGCAACCGCTTTCAGAAATGATCAAACATTTCCTTGAAGACTTGCCAGATAATTGTAAATAACAGGCTTCCTCTTAACTTGGATGGTATCCCTGCGCAGGGTCATGCAAGAAGGCTGTGAAGTCACACGTGCTCCATTCAAATCTTATTTTGCCTCTTCTGGGCATAGTGGTAATCCCAGCACTTTAGGAGGTTGAGGCAGGAGGATCGCAAGTTCAAGCCCAGCCTGGGAAACTTAATGAGACCCTGCCTCAAAATAAAAATAAGGTGCTGGGGATGTGGGTCAGTGCAAAGGCCTTGGGTTCCATCTCCTTTACCACCAAAATCAATCAATCAATTAATCCTTGATCCACCTCTTCTTACTGTCAAGGCACAGCCATATTAAGCCTCAGTTTCCTGCTCACTATAGTGCTGATGGGACATTCTTACTTCATGGAACATTTGTAAGCAGAAGTAATATGCACAGTGTGAGTACAAATTACTACTCCTCAATACTTTAATTTCTATTATTGCTGTTTCCTTCAGAAAGCAGTGCCCTATACCAAACCAGCACTCCAAAAAATTTTAGACAATACCCTAGGAA